CACTTTGCAGTTACAAAGTTTCTTTAATATAAATGTTTTGAAAAATCATATTATTTTTTTTTCTCCCCTTCAATGCTATATCAAGCACTGTGTATATATTTTAGAAGCCATTTATTCAGGTTTCTGCAGTGTGCTTGATGCCTGCTCCTGCTTGGGGTTAACAGACAACCAACAGGCAACAATGTGTAATGCAAGGAAAGTCTTGCTTTTTGTTCAACTATTTTGGTTTTAGAAGCCATAAAGCAGAATCAAGGCTATTATATTCCACTTGGTTGTGCCAGAAACCAAGAAGAGTGATTTTCTCACATATTTTATTTTTTGTTGTCTTTAAACTTTTAGTGTTCTTAAGGGAAAATAACCTCACAGAATTCATGGCCAACTGAAGAAAGCATTTACAGACTGTGTCTTGGATACTACATGACCTCTCCTGTTAGCAAACTTCCTAAGACCACAGGGGACTTATTCCCAACTCACACAGTCATTCTGAACAACAAGTGGGAGTTAAAATATCATTTATAATCCAGAGAACTATTAGGAAAATACTGATGTACCAGGCTGAGCTTGGAGCTCAAGTGATGGTGTTTACAGATTGATAACCTGGTATCTTGGGCTTGCATGAGGAGAAAGTCCACCCAGACCTCTTGAACTTGCTTGGGAAAATCTGGGAGACTTGGCATTTATTACCATTTTAGTAGTGGTAGAACTTACATGACGACAAGCTGTATTTCATTTTCAGTTAGGACCGTAGTTTCTCCTTTGGCTAACAACAACTTGACACGTGATTATCTTCTCTAAAGTGTGTGTGAAGAAATTCTGGGCAGCATTATATAGGAGTTTCCATGGAAGGGTGGAGGGTGCTTTAGGCAACTATGGCCCCAGACCATGTGTTTTTCTTCTCTTGGATTTAGTGGAGGGTGGGAGTGTCAAAACCTCTAAATACATTCAGAAGGATTTTCCAGTGCAAATGTCTTAAAAAGGCCTCTGAAATGTGTTCAGCCTTGTCTTGGTGCACCTGATTTTGGTAAGGAAAGGGGTGTGGTATGGCTGCAAATATCCCAGAGTGATAAACTGAAAAACTGGTGCCCATTTCACGTGTGACCTGGACCTGCAGGTTCCTTGCCCATCGCCCCTCGGTAGCATCCAAGAAGCTCTCAGTACCACGTTCAGCAATGGGACAGTCAGCTGGCAAATGTCTTTTTCTCACTGTCCTCCCACCAAAAACCAGAATGTAATACAGTGTTTGGTATTTGAGGAGGAACATGAGGAGGAATAACAGAGGAGTTATTACTTGCTTTTTAGTCTATTTTGACCTTTTTCACAGTGCTTTTGTTGATCAGGAGGGGCTCAGTCTGAGGAATGTGTTGTGAGCTCTGGATAAAGTTTGCACTGGCGCTGGATCCCCCTGTGTGTACTCAGGCCTCAGACTAGCCCCCCAGAAAGTCTGATAGAATAGGGCTCTGATAGAATAGGGCTCCACTGTGCAGGAGTTATTCTCCGTGGAAATTCAGGAGAGTATGTCATGTATGAGCTAGCATATGTCAAAGATAGAGAGGTGTCTTCAGCTTTCTTCTTTGCTGGACTTTTCTTTTGGACTGCTTTTTCAATCTGTCTCCCTTGCAGCCCACTTGCAGGGTTATTTTGATTAATCTTCCCCTAACTTATTAATTAAATACATCGTGGGTCTTCAGGACATGAGACTGAGTCAGTCAGGCTCGTGTTCCACTGTTCCTTCATTCTTGCAGCGTTGAAACCCCTTGCCCAAAGCTTGACAGCAGAGCATTCGCATCTTGCAAGCAACATCGTGCTTCTTAAAATGGATGTGACTATTGGTTGCATTAGTTTTCATCAAGGAAAACTAACATTTTTGCTGTAAATATTCATGAGGTGGAGGAGGAATCATTTAAGAGTTACAAAACAGAGTTAAAAGGTTAAAGCTAGAGTTAGAAAGTAGGCTGGTCATTAATAACAGTACAAGTGTTTTGACATCAAAATGTGCTTGGTCTGAACCTGACTCATTGGGTGTCATCTGGGAAGACTGAGGAAGCTACTGATGTGGAACTCAGTAAATACGTAAGGTTTATCATTCTTCCTTCAGTTTTCTAGTGACAACACTGAAAAACAGATGGGAGCTCTCTTCCATTACCTGTTCATTTTCTTGAATTTCTGTATATATTTTTGTCTCTTCACACCATGTAATTTCAAGGTAATGAATCTTGGGTCATCATTGTACAATATCCTAGTCAGTTACGAAATGCTAGTAGGGCTAATTGTGCATATTGTGCAGCCACTTTGTAGAAGGTAAGTACACTTCTGAAAAGATACATAACTATATTTATAAAGATGGATAAAAATGATTGGAGTTTGAGTGTTTCTCAGTATAGAGGAACATAAAGTAAAATAATGAGGAATTAATTTTGAAGCATGAATTTGAGGAAGTTTGGCATTGAAAAGGTTGAATGTCTGCAGGGTGCAGCACTTCTTTGAAAGTGAGACAAAGATGGATCCTTCTCTCTGCAGAGAATGCTGCATGTATGCTCCCAGGTAACTGTGATTAGAGACTGTAATTCAGAAAAACCACTGTGTATGCTATTTCCTGCAGCCCACTATAGGTGGGCAACATCACCCCGGAGAGACTTGCCAAGCTGCAGTAACACCCTGCCTGTTAAATTAACAGGTTGTAGTGCCAGCTTCAGTTTATTCGACTCTTGGTTGAAAAAAACAGGCACAAAGTACAAAGGGTGTCCAAGACCTGTCAGAAGTTTTGCCCTGAGGTGAACACGTTTCCTTCTGTCAGAGTCATGGCTTCAAGCTTTTTCCTTGAGAACCTTCTCTCTAGGATAGGCTCCTGGCACATAAACCACCAGAGGTGATAAAAAAAAAAAAAAAAAATCACAGATGGTTTTATAGCTGGGTTTATAATTGTCTTCTAGTTTGGGGTCATTAAGATTCACCTCATTTCTAAATGAAAGCCTAAGTGTCTCCAATAAACTTTTGCTTCAGGAACTAGCATTCCATGTCATTCACAAGCCTCAGAATTCAACCATGAAGATGGCAATGGTGGAGGTACCAATCAGCATTAATTACAGCGAGCCTTGTGGGCATGTGTCAGGGTCCACTTCCTCGCCTGAATCTACAATAAGGCTGCAGTTTGCCAGCAGCACACCAACAGTGTTTTGAGGAATTCTTGAAGTTGTAATGGGACTCTGACCTGGAGCAGGTTTGGTGGGTTACGTGTCAGATGTACTCAACAGCACAGGAGGAGATTTATGTGACACTGAAGTTGCAGACACACACTTTTTTCATGGTGGAAGTCAGTCCTAAACTACCTTGTTTTCAACTACTGAACGTGCTACTTAATGTCAGAGGATGTCTTCCTATCCTTTTTCTTTCAGTCTGCAACAGTGCTTTTAAGAAGTATATCCCTGTTGTTAAAAAGACATGTATCCTAAGCCTTTAAGGAGTCTAACGTGTACCTGAAATGCCTCCCTTTGCACTACACAAATGCCTTTAAATATCTTTTAACATTAGAACGTAACAAAAATGCAAGGTCTCACTTTTTGCTTCACTGGGCTTGTGCACACTGCATATAGCAAATCCATCAGTGTCAGTTCAGCACAGCTATGGCAGTTACCAAAAAGCCTATAAATGCAATACCTGTTACTCATTAAACAGATATATTCTCTAAACTCCGAATCTCTCTTTATACCTTACCCAGAAAAGTTTCTAAATACATCAATTACTAACACTGTAAAACTAGAGACAAAAAAATCAAGGTTATGAACTTGCATTTTGGCCTCATGGCGTGTTCAAGTTCTTGCATGTCGTATGGCCAAGGTGATACTGCACGAGCTCACGCGTGTGTGCGTGCGCGCACAATACTTGTAAAGTAAAAGTTGCTCAAGGATTTCTACTTTACGAACTTGGCACAATCTATAATTCTGTGAATGACCCTGAAGAAATATACACAGTGCACAGGTACTGTAAATTTGTTTTTCTTCAGTAGAGGAAAGAACACAAGGCTTCTGTGTTAACTGATGGGTTTCCAGATTGCACAAAATATGTATTTGGAATTGTTTTGGCTGTATTTTGCAACATTGTTGAGTTAATTTCCTGTTTTTGTGATCCTCTTAGTTTGCAAATGACCTTCATTAACAATTACTCCTCTACTTTGAAGATTTTTAATGACAATATTTGTTCTCAGCTTCCCAAAGGCAAATATCCATTATACAAATACTTCTACACTGCATAAAAAATTTTGTTATGATAACTTTCTCATTCTTGAACAACCTCTGGAAATGAGAAATTAAAAATTTTCTTGCTGGCAATGTAATTAGTGTCTATTTACGCTCTACATGAATTGTGATTAAGTACAGTTTTCATCATGCGTGTTTCTAAATAGCTAAGAGCTCTGCTAACCCTTAAAATATAAAAGCAGCTGTAAACTGCTCTAAATAAGCAATATAAAATATTGTGCATGTTGTTTAATGAATAAAGAAACTTACGGCTCTTTTAAAATATTTAATTGTTTGGGGGAGCAGTGGCTCAGAAGAAAATTGCATATAATTCACTTTCAGATGGATGATTTATATTAAGATCTACAAGTATAATCTGGCTATATGAGTATCTGCCTACTCTCCAAGAAAAAAAAAAAAAGTCTTGAAAAAGTCTGTGAGTGTACCAAATTTACAGTAAGTGTTCTGCTTTAACCTGTATAGTGCCAACACTTAATTATTTTAAATAGAAATTGTGAAGAGATTTAGTTGTCTATATTGACTTCTGGCAGAAGTTTCTCAAGTATTTAGCTCTTAAAAAACCAGCTTGAAAATATAGCTTCCGCGGCGTTGTCCTGAGGTGATCACCCCAGCATCGATGATGACAGAATGGCGGGTGCTGCTCTGTTGCGCCGGGTTGCAGGGGTGTTGCCCCACTTCTCTGTTTCACAAATTCTCTTGTCCTAGCAAGAAACGCGTTTCATTTTGTCCTCCCTCGTTTCTGAACAGCGATTCCCAGGAGGCTACCCAGCCCGCTGCTTTCACGGCCGCCCCGGCGAGGAGCATGCCCGCCCACCAAGAGAGCGCGGACGCGAGACCTGCTCCCGCCAGCACCACACCTGCTGCAGCCCTCAAGCCGATGGGACCCCCGGGCACTGCCAAGTACTCCGGCTGGCAGCCCCCAAACCAAGCAGGTAGCTTTCTCTGAGGCTTTTTCTTGTTCGCTTAAAGGCCGGAAAACATACTTCACCGTGGGTGTAAAAGCAACAGCCTTCAAATGGCTGTTTGTGTATTTTGAGTATAGTCCAGTTTGTTTAGAAAAGAGAAGAAGAAAAACAGATTTAGCAGTTGTAGTAAACCAGTAGCCCTTTGTAAGTAGCTTTGTAGATGTAATTGGTTTCACAAACAGGCAAAATCAGATGTCTCTGAACTCTATTAAAGGCATATATACCAATCAAATATATATATACACACCTCCCAGTTTCAACTTGGCGCTTCCCATGTGACTATAAATTCAACAGAGCACGTTCCATAATGTTTCAAGGGTAGAAATATCAACAGACACATGTTTTCCAAGTGATCTTTTCTGAAGTAGATGTTAATTAAAAAACCAAACAAACGACAACACCAGAACAAAAACCAAGACTAAAACATGGGTAGTTATATATTTGACATTTGTAGGTTTTATTTGGGTAGGGTGCTGGAGTATTGCATAGATTTGTGATATGGAGATTTGCTTCAGGTTGGGTTCTTGCAAGGAAAACTTACATAGCTACTACTTGTTGAATGTAGTTTGGTGATTCTTACTCCTTTAAATCTACACCAAAATGTCTTATGTCTGGAAAGCATGTAATTTTCTTTGTGAACATTTCTATGTTATAGCCATGTCTGTATTGAGGCATTCAGTATGTGTAACAGTGTATCTATACTTTTGTAATATTACATGCAGTAATGTGGGGTAATTTTTTAATGTAACTTGTTTTTTTTAAACTGAATCAGTCTTTGGTGCCCAACTAAAGTTGAGCAGTAATTTTAAAGAATCTGGGAAATTTGTATTACTAATTAAGCTTTAACTGCAGTTTTTTCTTGTAAGAATGGGATGAATGTTCTTGATTCTCTTTCTGACAATCTAAGATGCTAAATAGCCTTTTAATTTTTTGTTTAAGTTTTACTCTTAAGGGTTTTCCCTCTTTAAAAGTATATGCAATCCAGAAAAGGAACTACAGAGGCCCTGACATAAAAATAAAGATAAAACATATGGTGTTAATGCTGTTTTATAATGGCTCTGGCACATCTGGCTAAATTACCGTTGTGCTTGGTAACAAATATATGTATTTTGTTTTGGACATGCAGTTCTCCCAGCACGCCTCAAGATGGCAGTACACTTTCATTGCTATACTTCCCTGTCAAGTATCGAGTATATTCGTAAGGACAAGTTAAAGACTTACTTAAATTTAGATCAGCTTAATTCTAGCATCGATTTAGTTCTTTGAGTTAGCTGTCATTAGAGAAAAATGATACAACTCTTTTTAAAGTTGCATTTTTGGTAGCATCTGTACATACGGCAAATGTTTGTGGGAATATGATAATCCTGCATTTTTGTAAGTGATTGATTGAGCCCCATATTTGATGTAAATCTCTTTCTGTCTCACCAAGTGATAAATTTATTTCACTTGCACAGAAGCCACCTGTCAACTTTGGAGTTTGGTAGTACCACACCCATTTTCAATATGTTGGTAGGTGTTTCACTGCTAAATCCTACTAGCATGCTTTAGTATTAACAAGTCTAATGTTTGAAATAGACTTTAAATCTTTCTCCTTCATGTGTAATTTTTAAAAAAGAAGGATGAATTAAACTGCACTTGATGTCATACTTCTCTGAAAATCTGTGTCTATGCTCTTGGATAATGTGAAAATCTCCTTTTTCACATTAGAGGTACTACCTGTGTAGGTGAGGGGGAAAGCCAGCCAGAGGATTTTTGGGTTCCAGAATAGCTTGCAAAAAAACTTATGAAATTCATACTGATAGAGAAGCTGGTGAAAGGTTATGAGGATGTCAGCTCTGTGCTGCCTTGCTGTAGGGTCCTGAGATGCACTGGTTGACTTCCAGAGGAGCAAAGTCATTACCTCCTCCAAAAGCATTGGGGGAGCCAGAAATAAAAGCTGTAGCAGAAAGAGGCATTGAAAACTCAATGTTTCCTAGAATGGGAGAAGTGCAGGGAGGAAAATGCAGCAGTACAAATGGCAGCTGCCTGGGAGCTAATGGGCAGGAGAAGGTATAGTGTCCCAGGTGCTGGGGGAGCTTCAGTTAGCGTTTGAATCTTAGGAGCGTGAGGAGTCACACGCTGCCATGGGAAGCTGGTCTGCACTTGTCCCCTGTGTGTGGAGCTGCTCGCTGAAATGGTGAGGAAAAACAGACTACTTGGAAGTGTCAGAATGCTCTTGGGTTTTCTTTGTCTTCTACATTATCTGACTTCATCAGTCTGCAGGTACCTTCTTCTTAAAGTAGAGTCTGCAAATGAGTGAAGAAGTGACATTCTTAGCGTACCTGCTAGCCTGATTTCTGAGTTGATAGGAAGCATTTTGTGGTTTGATTGAAATACCAACAGTTGCCGAGGTGCTGGAGGCTTGTCCAGAGGTTATCTGACAGGTTTCACTGCGGGTCTGCCCTGTAAACCTGCCATGGACTCACTTCTGGTTTTATGTGCCATACATTGCCCATGTCGTTCAAGAAGTTGGTAATGCAAAACTAGCAGATGGAAGAGACCTAAGCATGGTTACATCAGAGACAGGATCACCATCTTTTTCTCTGGCCTATATTTTACAAAAATAAAAATACCCAGGGTTTTGCTGTACCTGAGCTTACTCAGTAAGGCTGAAACCAGCAGTATGACAGGTAATACTGTTTCAATAGTTGAGTGTTTTGATAAAATTGGTCAGATGCTGAAGAAAGACTGTAACTGTTTCAGGGCATGTTTGGACTTCAGTGATTAATCCTGCTGTTTGTTTGCAGTCTGTGAGCATAAAGTTTTCTTTAAAGTAAAATTGCCAGTGCTTCACAGGCCAAACAAAATTTGGCTTTGTAGGTTGTAGGCCTGACAAAATTTTAAACAAACAGCAAACCCTTGATTTCATAGTTGAAGTCTATCTTAGGAAATAACTAGGAGGAAGACATAATCTTATGTAAATGTGTGTATCAGTATGCCGTTAATAGCAGAAACTTATTTGGAGTACAATTTTGTAGCTCTAATAGCACTCACCCTTCTAATTAATATTGTATATAACACCAAGTTGTTTCCATAGCAAAGCAGGCATGTCACAGGATTTTGTTTGTGTCTGGGGAATCTATAATCTGCAGTTTGATGGCATGGCATGAATATTACCAGTGATTTTATTTATTAAGATGTCTGAGTACACAGATAAGTCACTTTGTCAGACAGTATCTCTTCATTTATTAACTGGAATCTTCCTTTCTTGGATAGGTCACCAGAGAATACCCTTACATTTTTTTATTAAAAGTAGCATCATTTTTTTGTTTGTTTGTTTGTTTCCATTTAGGGTTTGGCAGTTTTTTGGTGGTTGGTTTTTTGTTTTGTTTTTTTTTTGTTTGTTTGAGATGGTGCAGAGATGCCTAAGCGTGTCAGAGGGTTTTTGTTGGAGCTGAGGTATGATTTCCATTGACCTATATTTCACGACCTGGTATGGAGGAAAAAGATGGTCTAGAATGAATGGCTGAGATAGTGAAGCTAGAGACGTTTCAGGCACCGGGTTTCTCTGTACAGAAGGCAATCGTGATCCAAGTGATCTTGCAGTGATAGCACCCTTGGAGCTGAAATATCTTCATCTTCTGTTGGGGAGCACTCATGGGATACCCACTAATGCTGCTATATTAGTCACCCACTGTGGAGGTAACAGAGGTTTTACTGCCCTTTGGAATAAAATCCTGATTTTACAGGGTTCCTCAGTGGTTTGACAGAGGAAATGAGGGATAGCTGCCTTGTGCTTTCTTGTAAGGCATGGGTAAGAAGCTGGAGAAGCAGGATAAAAACCTGGCTTGTCAAACAAACAAACGAGAAAAGTCTCATCTTTGGCACATTGAGTGCACAAAGAGTGGAAGATGGGGAGGAAGTGGGATGTGCACACAGTGTATGTCCTCCAGCACCTCCAAATAATATATTTGCTTTCAACCTCTCTTGTCTGTATTCTTGACTTTTTCAATTGTTGAAATAAGGCAAGTTGTGGCTGTTGTTCTGTGTTAAGTGTACAGGCTAGAATTTATAATAATTCTCACTTTGTTTTTGTTGAGCTAGAATGTTCTGTTCACCCACCAAAAGGCCTTTTACAAAATTATATTAAATTAACAAAAAAAAAAAAAATACCCAGAACATCCCAGATACATTGCAGTGAGTTACTCTACTATGTGATAGCTAACTATTGCCCTATGCTTATGTAGCATTGCTCATCCCCAAGGAACCCCAAAGCATTTTCCAGTCCCAGGACCATGCGCAAACACACAATGCGTGCACAGGAATGTGCTTTCACCGCCATGCAGTCACTTGGGTGAAACGTAACAGCTGCTTGTCAGCATGCTTTAACACTCCACGGCATCTTGAAAGGAAGTGAATAGCACCGTGGCAAATTGAAACTGCTGGGACAATTTAAGAAAGTATAATTACCCAGTAAATGCAGTTACAGAAACTGGAGTTTGGCCAGGAGACGAACTGTTCTCGCAGAAAACGCAGCAGGATCTGCGATGGTCAGGACTTCCAACGTTACGTTTCTCACACGAAATTGCCTTCTCTTTCCCAGCATCTTCCAAACACTGCTGTTGGAGGGCTAGCTGCTGGCACAGTGGGGACCGGAGAGGCCGGGCGCCAGGCACAGCGCTGCCAGCACCACGTCCTGCCTTCCCGTGCAGGAGCTGGGCAAGCGGCGGGATCGTGGGGGTCTGGCGGGATCGTGGGGGTCCCATGGTGAGCTGGTACAGCTGTCGGCCAGGAAAACTGGTTTGCTGCTTAGAGAGGAGTGTTTCATTGCAGTCGATGACCTTTGTTCCTCATGGGTTTGTCAGCTGAGTATGAGGATGGTATGGGGAGGGTTTGCGACAGAAGTGTTCCAAGCTTGCGTTTTTAAGTGACAAGTTACCTGCATGTGCCAATTTCCTTATTCCCAGGGTCTCTCTCAGCCTCATACC